TAAGATTACGGTTTGAAGTTTTTTCGTATAGTCACAAGCAGCACTTTTAGATATATGTATGTATGGTAATTTATTTTTAAATTGTTTTTTTTTAATTGTAAAAAATCGCAATAAATTTACAGTAATTTTATATATAAAATCAAAAGTTTTATTTTGAAAGTTTGTAGCTGTGGTTTTTACGGAGAACGCATAATATTTAATATAATTATAAAATTACTCATTAAAACTTAATTTTATATCATTTAATTATATCATAATTTATAATACTTTAATAATTAAAAAAATTTTAAAAACCTAAATTATTAAAAAAATAATAATAAACATTATATATTTTAATAATTATATATCTTATAATATTTTTTAAATTTTAATTAATAATTAATAAAATCTATCATATTTTATCTATAATTCTGTTAAAAAAAATCAAATACTAAAATAACTTTCAGTCACAGTTACAGTATAATACAGTTACAGTTAAGTACAATCATAGTTACAATATAGTACAGTCACAACTAAGCACAATTACAAGTATAGTCAAAGCACAATTACAAGTATAGTCATAACACTTCATAACAATTTCAAACGCATCCTAAATTGAAGCATTATAAGTTAAGGACACAACTTCTCAGGGAGAAAGAACCAAATACATTGAGAGATGGAAATTTTATCCCCACTTGTTTGGGTCTTGGGGGCACACCAACTGCAGAGCACAACGTTAAAATGGGAAAATTTTTACTATTCATCACGTAACTCTACGACAACGAGCATTCTAGACATGGACCTTCTCTAAAATGATATAAAAATAGAGTACGTACAGGAGAAGCAAAACCTAAAATCCACCTCATAAACTTTTGCTAGATCTAATTGAGAGATTATATGTTAGGTCCATCCATCCTCACATAATGCTCCATCCATCTCTTATGTATGTTTCAAACACGAAACTCAACTTTATTGTTCCTCACATTTGAATTCATTTAGAGAAAAACAGATTAATCTAAACTATTATGGCTCTAATCTCTATAACAGGAGAAAAAAAATGTTAAACCATTTATAACTTTGGTTATTTGGAATAAAATTTTTTTCTTTCTTTCGACTCTAGATTGAAAAATACCTTTTTCATTCATTTATTCTAGAATAATATGAATTTTGTTTTCATTCAAAAAATAGACCTTAAAGTAATTCTATAATGGGAGGTGGGTTGTTGGTCTAAAACAAGAATTAGATTTATATATATATATATATATATATATTTATCGAGAGTTATTTTCTTTGCATTATAAAGATGTGTGTACCAAACTTAATTAAAACATGAATTAATTTTTTTTTTCAAAAAAAAATTAGTTAAATATATTATAAGTGTCTCCACGCCCATTGGGTTTTACAGGCCCAAATATTAACATGTAACATCATAAAGCCCAAGCCCAAACCCGAGACCATCCCTCTAATCTGAAGACTCTAATACCAAACAGAATTACTAATCTGTAACCGTAAAACCCTCATCGGAGAACTCTAAAACCCCATTTTACGATCGACGGAAACTCAGCATCCCCCTACATGGCTGTTTCTAAATCCGCATTCCTCGTCCACCTCAGAACTGTAGCCCGACTCTACGGCCACCGGCGCCGCCATCTGATTCCCTCCGCTGTCACCATTCGGCACCTCTCCTTTGCCACCCATGAAGAAGCAGCTGCCGAGCGCCGCCGCCAGAAACGCCGTCTCCGCGTCGAACCCCACGCTGTCATCCCTTAACCGCTCCCAGCAACCCATCCAACCGAAACCCATCCAAAATCCTAACGCCTCCAAAATACCCGAGCCCATATCGGCGCTTTCTGGGAATCGGCTCAATCTCCATAGCAGAATCCTCACCCTCATCCGCCAGAATGATCTCGAAGAGGCGGCTCTCTTCACCCGCCATTCCACCTACTCCAATCGTCTCCCCACGATTTACACCGTCAATGCTGTCCTCAACGCGCAGCTCCGCGAATCGAAATACTTCGATCTCCTTTCTCTCCATCGGTTCATCACCCAAGCTGGCGTCGTTCCCAATGTCGTCACCTAGAACCTCATTTTTCAAACTTATCTCGACTGTGGAAAACCTGATACTGCCTTGGAGCATTACAAGCAGTTTATAAATGATTCGCCGGTCAGTCCCTCCCCTACAACTTACAGGATTTTGGTGAAGGGATTGGTGGATAATGGGAAGTTGGAGAGGGCTATTGAGTTGTTGCAGAATATGGGTGAGAACTGAGAAGGGTTTGGATGCTGACCCAGTTGTGTATTGTTATTTAATGTTGGGTTCTGCGAGAAGTGGGGACGTAGATGGGATTTTTAGCCTTTATGAGGAGTTGAAGTTGAAGAAAGGTGGGTTTCTGGATGACGGGGTGATCTATGGGAGTTTGATGGAGGTGTATTTCATGAGAGGGATGGAGAAAGAGGCTATGGAATGTTATGTGGAGGCTTGTGGGGAGAATGCAAAGGTGAAGATGAGTGCTGTTGCTTACAATTCAGTGCTAGATGAGTTGAGCAAGAATGGGAAGTTTGATGACGCCTTGAAGCTATATGATCGGATGAAAAATGAGCATAACCCACCTAGGCGGTTGGCTGTGAATTTAGGGAGCTTTAATGTGATTGCTGGTGGATACTGTGCAGAAGGGAGGTTTAATGATGCCATTGAGGTTTTCAGGAAGATGGGTGATTATGGGTGTAGTGCAGATACCTTGTCATTCAATAATTTGATTGATCAGTTGTGCAAAAATGGAATGTTGGTTGAAGTTGAAGAGCTTTATGAAGAAATGGTTGATAAGGGGGTGAATCCTGATGAATATACTTATTCTCTATTGGTGGATTCTTGCTTTCAGGTGGATAGAATTGATGATGGGGCTGCGTATTTTCGAAAGATGGTGGAGTCAGGATTGAGGCCAAACTTGTCCGTTTACGGTAGACTGTTTGATGAATTGATTAAGGTGGGCAAGGTTGATGAGGGAAAATCATTCTATGATATGATAGTTAAGAACTTGAAAATAGATGATGCGAGCTATAAGTTTATGCTGAAGGCAATGAGTAACATGGGGAAATTACATGATGTGTTAAAAATGGCTGACGGGGTATTGGATGAAGGAGCTGAGTTTAGTGAGGAATTGCCAGAGTTTGTTAGAGAGTTATTGGGAAAGGAAGGAAGAGAAGAGGACTTGACAGACCTTATGGAGGAGAAAGAGAGGCAGAAGGCTGAAGCAAGAGAGGCAGAAGGCTGAAGCTAGGGCCGGAGAGGCTGAGGCAGCAGAAGCAGCCAAGAGAAGCGCAAGAGCTGCTGTCTCTTGCTTGCTTCCCTCTAAGCTGTTCGGAAATAAGGAGGTTGAATCCAAGTCCCCAGTGGCCTCGGTAAATGCTGTTGATGCCACCTCTGCCAATGAAGCAGAATCTAGTAAGGAGAATTTTGAGGAGGCTACTCTTGCAGATGCAAGCTCAATGGAGGAAGCCATCAAGAGGGAGCATTCTGATGAAACAGAGTCTGAAAGCGATCACTAGGTAACAACCTGGAGATCTAATGAAGCGTTGGCCATTTTCCTTTTCCTTGGAAATACTAGAATTCAGGTATTAAAATTTTAATTAGCACATATCTGTCAACTTGAAACAGGACATGCTTTTGAGGTTGATTGGTTTTACATTTAGTCAGCCTTGAAAATTAATGTCCCACTGAGACTTTTGCTTTAAGTTAACACAAGCACAGAGAAGAAGCAATCTATAAATTGATGGCTTAAAACATGACGGATTCTTGTCTTGTTTTGGGAAATGAAGGAGCAGATGCTTGATGGCTAGTAGCATTGGTGGTAATCGATGACGCATTGAAATTATTTGCAAGATGTTTACACAAGCGGCACCACCTCTCCATTATCCAAATGAAATAGAACCTACCGTTCGCACCTCCCCATTATATCCCAATAAGATGGCACCAACTATTCTTTGGTAATGGCAATTATGTTACAAATTGCCAAACATTTTATCTACAACATTATCTCACCCTTGCAGTCGTAGTGATGAATTTAGATGGTACCTGAACTTAGATTTCAATAGAGAACAACCATTTGCTTAGGGTCCTGTTTGCCATAAAATGCTGCATTGCTCCAAATAATTTCAATTTAGGAAAAATGATTCCATTTTTAGCAAATTTATTAAGTGAAAGGATGCATCGGCTGTATTCAAACGCCTACTTAATGAAAAAAGGATGGTTAGGGACGAAAGTGCGATTATTATACAAGTCACGAAAGCTGAAAACCCTTCAAGCCTTCTCAATACTTACTGTCCATCACAACATACCAGAAAAAACTTGGCAGAGGTGCAACACAGTATTAAAGTGTCCAAAACAGATCACAACAAATCATCAACATCAACTCTCTCAACTACACAAATTTGGTATGCACACACCAGCATCTGAATTTTGCTGTTCCTTCCATATCCTCCCTGTAACTCTCAGCTTCAGCTCCTTCCTGTCCCCACCAGAGAAGAAAAGTGCCATGTTACGCTGGATGATTAGACCATCATGGCTATCCCTAACTTTCCGGTGGCTGTCCCGGATGCTTCGTGGGGTTCCTTCCCATATTAGTTTCCTGCCATTTGCCCCAACCTCAAGGCTGTAGCTATAGTTCCGAGCCTCAGCCTCATCACCCATAAAACGAAGAAATGCCATATACACAGGAGCCACACCAAGCTGGAACGCTTCAAAGTGAAGGCAGAAATACTGACCAAAGCAATGGAAGACCTGACATAGAGCAGATTGATATAGGTTGAGGTTTATAAAGGGTGCGGAGGAAACTGGTGAAATGAGAAAAAAGGCATACATGACTTAGCATGACTAATGTTTTGACTAAGAAAAAAACCTAACCATTCAGAATTTAGCTTTGCCCACAACCAACATAATGAAAATGAGCAAAAGTTTAAAACTTCTTGTTTGAAGTAACTAATGACTTCATCCGAGGATTTTTTTCCTAGATGAAATGAAGCATATCCATTTTAACAAGGAAAACAAATACTGTTCTTTCTTATCCTGTGGGTTGAGATGATTTCCCTAAGTTTCTCATAAAAACGTATAGTTGCACAATCATATCACATAGCTCTAGTCCAATAAAAAATAAACTAATGCCTCCAGTGGAAAAAGAAATTCAGGCTTACCGTCAACATCCAAGTTGCATTCTCTACTTCACGGGGGTTTGACTTTACATAACGATGGTTGAATGTGGATCCAGAATGCATGTCCACTTTATGGTCATCCCTCAAATGGGAAACCAAGAAAGGGATATCGCCAACAACGGAGCACTCAGATCCAGCATATGGGCAATTATATGGTCTGTAGTTGCAAACTGTCTCATGCTTAAGTTTGCTGTAATATGGGAATATCTCTGGACACCCTAAATTGTAATATTTGCAGGGCAATTCAAGTGACTCGGCCACCTTCTCCAATGCTAAACACCTAATATCTCCAAGCTCCTGTCTACAGGTGGGGCATCGATTGTGCACCCTCGCTTTACAGGTAAAACAAAGTGTATGCCCATTCTGGCACTGCAAATAACTATAATGTTAGGAAAGCAGTTTATAGTCCATGATTGACAATAACCAACACATACCATATTTTGATCCACCAACTAATCTAATAGAGACAATACCTTGTATTTCATCCCCCAAAAAAAAAAAAGAAAAATCTCAGGTGATGATGATACCAAGATAAAAATAAGTAAAGAATCTAAAATCACACAGCATATACATGAGGCCATGAAAAGCAACAAAATGAAGGTCACTCAATTCCTTCTATGTCTGAGAATGCATTCAAAATATAAATTTCCCAGTTCATTGGATTGGTGTGACACTGACGCGTAATATGTCTGGATGCACCAAGAATTACAAAGTATTCTGCAACACATTCTGAAGAAAAATGTCTAAACATACAAAATGATAATTGCCATACGTCAGCCTCCATTGTGTAATATATCATATGTCTTGTATATAGCCTTAACCTCTTTCCCTAGGAATTGGGTTACTACAACTTTAACAGTATAAAACATGTCACTCTCCTAGTTCATCAATAATTCAATTCAGTTCAACCTAGATCAGCAGTTTAATAACTAAAGATAAATCTGATCTCACCAGAAATGAAGTCAATACTTTTTATGTTAACTATTCAGAAGAATAAAAAGGACTTCTGATTGAAGGGCTTTCCACCCTAGAAGTCCTCTGGACTTGAAACATACCATTCAACACTATAAAGTACAAGGAGAAGAAACGTTGAACTACAATTTTAGCAATATGAAATTTGCCTTTGATTTTCTATTTCCAATATGATGCAACAAATGAACCCTTCATCATTCACATACTAGTGGACTTACTAAACTAATTAGCTCATCTGGTCCAAAAGTCCTCCCTCGGTGTACAAGTCCAAATCCCTATTGAACATCTAGTCATAAGTATAGAATATTGAGCTGGCCTATTCCTCACTATTATTTTCAAATCCAGACCATTATTATTATTATTATTATGGTTTGGACGGTCAAGGTGTCCCCTGGACAACTTTTGTGCATCTTGAGATTAATCCCTCCTTGAGCGATCTTAAGGGTGCACCCCCCCCCCCCCACATTGGCCTGATGCATTCAAGAAAACTAATTTCCTTGAAATCCATACCATTAGTAGATAGCTAAAAATTGCTTCCCATGGGGCATGGTTCTTCTTAGCACACATTAAATCAACATCTTAAAGTTCCCATAGAGCATTTGTTCTGCAACTGGCATTAAAGCAAGCAACACAAATGAAGCCAGGATTTTGTCCTTATCCATTCTGACTAGAACACCAGCTTTATCAAGCAAAATTATAAACGTCTAAAGAACTTCTTTAGAATACATTTGAATAATCTGAAGCATAGCACGTATTACAGAGAAAGTCTATGATATTACATTCTTCCATGCCCCTTTAGGGGAAAATCTAGAATTAATGTTAAAAGGGGAGCCTCCACAGAGTCAGTCACACAAAGCTTTCCATGGAATCAAACAAATGAATAAATACAAACTAAGTAACAATCGGAAATAAATCAGTTCCTTTAAAGCAGCAGATTATCCAATCTTAACCATCAAATTAGCCCCAAACATTGAATTAACAATATGGAAATGAAATCCCAAAAATATTGACCACAGTTCACAGATCATCAAGGCCTGCAAAATGCAATTCTGCAAAACCACTGAAACCAATCCCAGATCCGGCCAGGTTAACAAATCGCCCAAATTATAAAATTAACACAGTGAACAAATAGATTACTAGTTACACATAGATATATCTCAAGAAAATGCAATAAAATATACACAGAACAGACCTGATGGATTGGTGGGTACATGGAATTGGTACAGACGGGGCATTCTAGCAACTCGTGAACGCTGGTGGCCGGAGCAATTGCTGTCGGACCCATAATACCGTTGATGCCGTTGGCGGCGGCGGTGGCGGCGTTGTTGTTACTACCGCCATTGTAAGGCTTTGATGTCGAGAATTGATGGTGGTGGTGAGGGTGAGGATGGTGAGTATTGTGGTGATGGATCTCATCCTCGTCGATTCCATCTGTAGATGATACACACTCAATGCTATCCAACTCCATAAATTAATCGAATCCCACCTCCAACAAAATCCCCCAAATCAGACCCAAAATCTCAAAATGATTCCTTTCCCCTTCCCTCCCTCAAAAAAAGAAATTAAAAAAAAAAAAGAAAAAGAAAGAAAATTCTCTTCGTTTTCCTTTCTCTTGTGAATCAACAATTTTCCAAGAAAGAGGAAGGAGAGAAGAGAGAGGCTAGAGAGAAATAGATTCCATGGAGCCAAACAGATCTTCCATCTCTCTTCTTCTAGAAAGGTAGGTCTTTTTCTTCGTTGGCTCCTTCTACCTTTTTCTGTGAATTTAATTTGTTTTTTTGTTTTTTTCTTTGGCTCCCATATCCATGTCCATGTCCCAATCTACTTTCTCTCTCCAAGTTTATACGTATGAAGAGGGAGCAAAACGGTAACCGTTGAAAGTTTTGTCTACGACGACCCAAAATCTGATCATGTATTTTTTATTTTTAATTTTGAGTTGTATAAAGGTAAGGGAATTTATTTGTTTACTTTTTAATTTTATTTTATTGTATGTTATATTATTTTAAATATATAGTATTTTATTTTTATAAAAATGATTATCACTTAATTATTTAAATTAATCTAATCATATATTTTTTACGAAGATAATTATAAAGTAATTTTTATACAATATTATTTAATTATAATATTTTTTCACTTTATTA